GAGGGTGTGGGGGCGTGAAAGGGGAGGGGTGGGCGTAGGCGGAAGGCTTTCAAAAAAAAACGGTCGGATTGTTTTGGGATCGAACCAACGACGTGATGAAGAGTCGGCGGCGGTGCCTCTACCGCCTGAGCCACGGCGGCACGATTGGCGAAGAGAGCTGAGATGTGATATGGATGCTTCGCTGTGCGCCCCCGCTGCCGCTATAATAGGATGGCTCGCAGTCCGATCTGTGAGCAAAGTGGTGCGTTGCCGCGCTCGCAGCGCGATCTGTGAGCAAAGTGAAATGACATAAATACACAGTTCGGTTTCCACTGTGCTAAAAGTCAGATCAAAAAATGAATCCGCTCCATGACTAAAATTAAAAGTTGGTGTGGTGCAGCGCTCACAGAGAGCGGGTCGCGGCGACCACACGTTAGCGTTGCTAATTTCATCTGCGCTTCAAGACCACCCCAAAATTCCAAGACTCCGATGCAGCAAACAGGGAAACATCAACTTTGCTCATAGATCGCGCTGCGAGCCATCTTATTATTATTCCAAATTTCAAATTTTGGGGGCACTGTCGAGCAATCGCTCGGAACTATCGTCAGATGGCAGCACTAGAGAGCGCGTTTGGAAGGCGCACTTAGTTGGCAAAAGTCGCTATAGAGCGCTCTACAATGAGGTGCATTAATGGCGGGCCTACTATAAATAACTCTGTTCCCCCATCACTGCATACTCTCTCCCCCCACCACTTCGCTGAAATAGGGAATTTTCCCAGCTAAGAGGTGACGGACCCCTGGTTCCCACTGCGCCGCGGCCGCAGCGTTCTCCCTGCTCCGGTCCCTTTGTTCGTCGTCGCCCGACGGTCGGCGAAACTTACCCTTCCAGACCCCACCCCCTTTCACGGCGGGCGGCGGTGCGGCCGTGGCTCCGGCGGTGGCTGCGTCGGAAGAGCTCTGCTCCTTGAAGGAAGCGCGCCGCGGCCGCGCCGTGGGAAGCCGCCCTAAGCTTAGTTGGTGGCTTAGTTGGTCCGACGAGCACTACAATGGGTTAATGGAGTTTCTATGTTTCTAGAAATTTAGGAATTTCATTGATACGTAGTATGATAAAAATGTCATCGACATATCTTTTGTAAACGACTTAAAAGTAGGTAAAAGTAGGACTTCCACGCTTCGCATAGCAATATCAGCAAAGAAGGAACTGAGAGAATCATCGAAATACTTGTAATCTGATGATAGATAACACCATTAAATTGGAATTTGATATTTGAAAGAATGCACATTCGTATACTTTCATTCCAATTACCAACTTTAAAGGAGATAAAATTCTAAAGCAGATACGATGAGAGGGGATGGAGAATATAGAAATAACTATGGATATGAGATTTCATAGTCTGAAAGAACAGATAATTTTAAAAGTTCTTAAGATACTTCAAGACTGTTACGATCACAATATTGTTCAATGATTTTGAGAACCGGTTTAAATATTAAATTCAGAAAAATTGTATAAATGATAGTAAGGCATGTCAATACGAGAAAAGAACAGGAATAGGAAAACCTATTTCATGAACCGCAAACCGTATAGTTATACGCCTACGGGCCGATGGTTTACATACACCATATAATATGTATTACAAACATCTTCATAATAATGTAGTTGTAAAAGTTAGAATCCATCTTAAATTTTTAATGCCCAAATGATCTCTTTAATGTTTTCCCTCGTATGTAATAAATACGCGCTCTATCAGTCTAGGAGAGCGTGACCGTCGCAGCTCTTGGGGATAGAACCGATCGGCAACCACGTCAGGATGCATCGGTGAGCGTGAAGGGGACGGGGTTGGAACGGGGTTGGAGAGATGGACGCGATCTACCGTACAGACTAACAGTACTCCGCGGTGTATCTTTTCGCAAGCAGTTAACAAAGTATTAAGTTTCGCGGATCACTTAAATTTAAACAAACACTTCCGACAAACACATCAATTTTCGTATTCTAGAAATTGAAGACAGGTACTGGAACAGAATAGAATTGGAATCCCTACTTGTCTTAGCCAACAAATCCTTGAACTCTCGTCACCTCTGCTAAAATTAGCTCAAAGTGTACACCCCTAACTCCACTCGCCTTCGCTCGCCCGACCCCT